TAGCAGGCAAGATCAATCAATTTCACAGGCGTAGGGCCCACTGTTCTTGTTCACCGCCTTTACTTAACTCTATCAATGGCATCTTCTGCCGTTAACTCAGCTTAGGAGAGGTGAACCGTCTCAGCAGCCTAATTTTAGCAGAGGGAAAGCTGTCTTCATGAATTTTACCTACAGGCCAGTAATTGCTGTCGTAGAGCATCGTGGCTTCCCACCATGCAGCACACCTTCTCTGCGAGAGTCCTATAACACTCATTCACCTATCCGATCCTCAATCCTGCACGCTGTCGATGGCTTCCCCAAGACGGTTGACGATTGATTCACGATTGACCCTGGGCCCCCTCTTAGTTGACAACCTTGGTCTTCTTAAAGTGCAGGTGGAGTCCATGTATCGCCAGCTTTTTCTGGCTTTTCTGCGGCTTATCCTTCACTTCTTCTCGACTCTTCGCTGTCAGAGCGATGTCCAAAGGACTGCTGAGGTCGGACGCTTACTCTACATCGAGGAAGGCTAGACAGCAATGTTTCATTTTTCACGATTCTTCTCCATCACTTGTCTAGATTGTCGTCCGTCGTGGACCTTTCTCATATGAAGCGGAGCTGCTTCCGCGAGGTCGCGAGTAGTCTTCTCAATCTTGAGTCGACCGCTCGCTGGCACAGTTACATCATGTGAGCAGTCAATCTGATCCCCCATAGTTGGAACATTCAATCGCTAGCACAGACACGTAGAACACTTTTAAAATCTATTCGTGAACATTTTATCGTCGACAATTCTTAGTTCGTAGAACATCAAAAGTAGCTACGGAACCCATGAATGGACAGCTTCTGAAAGAAGGTTCGAAAAATTCTCCAAACATTTCTTATCTGTTCTCTAAATCCATCAACAGAATTGAGACGAAGATGGTTAACATATGAAGGGTTTCTATTGCAAGCGCTGGTTTCAGTTTTGTGTGAGATCTCTTCTACTCCATACTTTCCCTCTGATTTGATCCTTTTTTCCAAACACCAGAACGATTCTTTGTGTCCCATTTAATTTAAGGATCACTGCCAGCTGAACGTTGTCCAATATGTCTTATCCGGGATAGGAGGGTGGAGTGGTAAAAGGAAAGCGGTATGTAGCTAACCAATGCTGATTTTTGTGAACTGCGACATTAAGCTGACACGATGATTTTTCCCCAAATCAACTGTCCAACTCCTAAACTTTTTTTCTGACCGAAATTCCGCGAGTTTCTCCTCAGAATGAAAGTTACTACACGGGAACCACTTATTGTTTGGGCAGAATTTATTATTGGAAATACCAAAACTGTGTTTCGAGGAAGGGATAGCCGAGTGGATAAGAGTGTGGGCTCACGTCTGCACTTAGAGGGAGTGCGAGTTCGATCCCTGCCGAGGCAACTCCATGCCTTGCAAAAATTGCAAAAATGGTATCGGTACCAGCGTCAGGCCGGCTGATGGAGAAACCCGTCACAACAAACATGTCTAAAGTCTCAAAAGGTATCAGTGGTAAAGCTGGGACGTCACCCAGAAGTGGTGCACAGGATCCCCGCCCAAGCTCTGTGGACAGTATGCGAGGGCTACCGAGGAGTGAACGACCTCGGTCAAAGAAGTTAGTTCGAATTGGGACTCTGAACATGGGTTCGCTTACTGGGAAGTCCCGAGAAGTCGCCGATCTAATGAAGCGCAGAAACATCCAAGTCCTATGCCTCCAGGAGACCCGCTGGAAAGGAGCAAAGGCCAGAGAAATCGGAGAGGATGTTAAACTCTACTACAATGGGGATACAACTCTACTACGAAATGGCGTGGCCATAGCAGTAGTGGAGTCCCTCAAAGACTCCGTCTCCGCCGTCAGCAGGATCAGTAGCAGAATCATGGCTGTAAGGATAAACA